CCAGTCCCACCCTCGGACACAGCCTTGGGTGGGGGTTCCACCGCCTGGGGTGTGGGCTTGGCCAGAAGGTGGGCGTTGCTAACAGAAGGCCTGGGTCTCTCATGCCCTCCTCGGCTCGAGGCTTAAAGCAGTCCAGAGAAAAAGCTTGAGTTTTTCGGGGGGAGAGTGAAGGCAGAGACACGGCTGCTCATCTGAGATGTGTCGGACCTGTGGTTTGTGTTCCCCAAATAGGCTCTGTCTCCGGCAGTCTCTCTGTGGGGACGGAGGGGGGGGTGGGGTCCAAGGCAGATTTATTCGATGGCCCTCCCTTTTTATTGTTTTTATTCTCTGCTCCTCGTCATGCCCCCTGCCAGTGCCATGGTTCCAGCTGTAGTCCTCCAGTGAGGCTCCCTGCTGCCCGTCCCTCTCCTCTCCAGGCCCTTCTGCGTGCAGCGGCCATCTTGTCTTTTCTTGCTTAGAGATTTAAAATGGTTTCTCATCGTTTCCAGAGTAAAATCCCTTCCCTTTAGCACAGTGCCGAAGGCTGGCTATAACCAGCCTTAGCTCTCCTACTCAGTCTGACTTCTCTGCGTTTCCCCAGGTGGACCACGTATTCCAGCAAAACCAGGCAACTTACTTTTTCTTGCTTTTCCGATCTCCCTGTTTGCACCACTGGTATTTTCCATGACTCTTTGGCCCTACCGCACCCACCTGCGGCAGCCCTGCCATCCTCCGTGGGCCTTTGCGGATCCCCTTCACGAGAAGCAATCCTCGTAACCGCCGCTTGCTCCCTCTGGCCAAGGTCTCATACACTTCATCCTTCTCGGATGCTACTTTGGTTATCTTCTGGTTCTTTGTGTGTGTAAGTCGTAAGTCACCTATTAGATGAAGAGCTCCAAGAAGCCGGGGAACAAAGAAGGAAAACACTTACCTATTTGGTGCCTTCTGTTTACCAGGTACCACGTCAGGCTCTTTCTCGGAGCTCATTTCATGTATTGCTTTACCGCAACGCTGCGAGGAGAATCCCATGGCTGGTAAGTGTTCTGCTCATGATTAGAACCCTTATTCTCCCAAAGCCTTTGCATTTTTTTACCTGTCCGTTCTCAGTGTCTGCAAAATGCCTCTTACAAAGTAGACCCCCAAAACGTGTCTATTTAAGGAATTTTGTACATCCGTAATACTGTATGGGGGTTTGGGTGGCCGACGTTCCTGCGCCCGAGGTCCGGGTCTCGTAGTCATTCTGTGCTACCCTCCCTGTTACCTCATTAACTTTCTCCTCTTCTTTGCGGTCAGGTTCACACAAGATGATCGCTTTTTTTTTTTGTAGCTGCAATTGGTGGATTAACAAACCTCCTAGAGGAGGAGGTGGAGATGGGGTGGTTGTAGCATCTTCAGAGCAGAATGAGCTCCAGAACCCAGAATCACTGGAGCTCATACAAGGCAGGGAGCAGAGCCTCCGTTTGCATCTGACCCTGCCTCGTCTTGCTGGGTGGTTTCTCTAAGGCTTCGTGATCTCAGTCAGTGACATGGAGCCTCCGTAATCTACTACACAGAAATGCCTAATATACTGCTAAGCAGATAGGATCCCTGCAGAAACTGAAGCACCTCCCTTTCCCCTGCCCAGCTGTCTTATCGGGCCCTTAAGAAGGGAACATAGCAGGTGGCTGGAGAAGGAATGGGGAGGGAAGGGAGCTTGCGTGCCTTCAGTGATATCAGAAGCAGAGGCAGAGGAAGAGGTAACCAGGCAGTATGCACCTGAAGCCTGCGAGGGGACGCCTTTCCCCCACCCGGAGTAAAGACCCCTTTAACGTCTGCGTCAGGGAAACGCCGTGGGAGCGGAGCCGTGAGGCCAGGGCAGGCGGTGGCAGGGTGAGGGTTAACCAGTGGTCCTTCCTGGGAGCCTTGTGATGCCAGCTTAGTTTCCCTTCTTTCTGAATGGCAGTGGTGGCCGCCTGCTTCCTGACGCCGTTGCATCCCGTGGGAGGGGAGTTGGGCACCCTGAAGCCCCTCGTCACCAGTTCTGGGCTGCAGAACAGAGAGTGACGACAGCCCATGAGTCGTCAGCCGACGGCGGTGGGGACCCTGGTGACGGCTGCTTTGTTGTTTTTTTCCTCTTTGGATGATGACTCAGTATGTCGGGAGCTGGGAGATGGAGCGCTCAGCCGAGTGGCCAGGACGTTCTGTCAACATGAAAGCAGCAAAAACAGCTTGTCAGGGCTTGGAGCCGACCCTGGGGCTGGGGTCATTTTCAGGAAGGGCTTGGCAGAGAAGACCACTTCTGGGCATCAGGTGGGGGTGACACCAGGTATCCCAACGGGGCTCCGTGGGCTCTTGAATTTTAGAAACCAAACAGAAAACACAGCTGCTTGTGTTATTACTATTATGCGCTTGGCAAACAGAGCCACTTTTCAAGCTCCTCTCACCCGTCCCCAACAAGAGGCATCTTCTCGGGGCCAGAACACCCTCTGGGATTTCTCACCGTGGCCTGTTGCCTTGGATGCGTGAGTCCCATGTCGGGTGGGGTGGGCCTGGCAGTCTTTGGTGAACCCTGGCATTCCGGGGCCCTGGGAGTAAGTGCCCATCATGGGGATGTGGCATCTCAGGTGTCCTCTTCTGGCATCACATGAAAACGGTGCGTCCACCCCACCAGCCTCGAGCTGAAGGCCAGCTCTTGGGCAGCCTGATTTAGCCTCCCCTTTCCTTATTGTCCAACTTCTCTTCTCCCCTTTCATCTTCCTCAGTTCCTTCTCAGGAGAAATGGTGGGCCTCGCGTCCTTGACCTTTGCGCATGTATGTGTGCGTCATCATGGCGGCTCCGGATTCTAGGCTTTTCTTGAAGCCGCAGCATTGCGCTAAGTGCGCGTGACATTCCCCCCTTGCCCCGCCTGCCCGGCCCCGCCCAACCAGGCCCAACCGGGCCCAGCCATGCCTTCTCGGGAGCAAGAGAGACCTGGACCGCCATCACCACCAAATCGCAGGCAAGCCATTCTCCTCAGCATCTGGCTTCCCTTCTCTCCTGCTCTCTCTCCCTCGGCCATGGCTGAGGACAGAGAAGCAAACAACTTGTGGGTGGGGACTGAGGGACGGCCTGGCCTGGGACCACCCTACCTCCGTGCCCCTTGTGCCAGTTTTCAGGCTCGTGCTTTCCTATAGATGATGCTTCGCACTGCCATTTGTCACTGAGCACCTCCTCCTCTCCCCAAGGACCTCCGGGCATGACTCCTTTGGGATCTTTATGGGGAGTGGTTTTGGGGCCTTGGGAACCAGAGGGAGCAGGGGGACCTGGCCGAGGTCACAGTGGAGAGGAGCGCAGGGCAAAGGACAGGAACCAGCTGTCCCTGCCCAGAGCGCAGAGGCAGCCCCAGCCCCTTTGAGTCATGTCTTTTTGAGCCTGAATAAGAGCAACTTGACCTAAAAAAAATTGTATGTATGTGGATGTTAGATCCTTTGTGTCTTTGTCCAGAAGCTGTGCGTATGATGAGGGCCCAGATCCTGTACTTCAGAGAGCTCTGTTGTCTCTCAGATTTGTTTTCCAAAAGAGGTGGTAGGCCCTCCTTGATGAGGCCCAGTGCCCACTGGGCCTGGCCTTCCTTCAGGACAAGGGGCCCAGCCTCGTCTTGTTTCTGCCATTGGCGGGTAAGCAGCAGCTGAGGGCCTTGGTCCCAGGGCCACATATTAGCCCCAAACGAGACCCTCATCGGGGCCTGCGCAATTCATTGCTTGGTTGGTTGGCCCTGAGAGCCGAGCCTCCTGTCTTTTTTTCGCTTCTTCCCCACAGAGAACTCAGAGGAGTTGAGCTCCGTCAGTAGGTGACAGCGTCATGGAGACTCAGGCGGCCAAGCTGAGGACGGAGCTGGTGTGCAGAAGACAGCCATCATGTGGCCGAATAGAATGGCCCGTTTGCATTTATTTGGAACAAAAAAAAGGAGATGCGTGTCAGCCTGGCTCTCTGCAGTAAGTATTCATCTGACTTCTCTTATTCCTTCAAACATCGGGAGCGATAGATGTTTATTGAACCCGCCCAGCGGCTGTGCCTTCCGCTTCCTTTCCCTGCAGACTCCTGCCCCTGGTCCTCCATCAGAGAGGACGAGATCAGTTTCCTAGTGCTGGTGGAGAGCTGCGGAGAGGCTAGATCTCGGCGTTTCGCCCCCGCACGTCACCCTCACATTCAGGAGAAGTCGATTTTCGCTAAAACGGAGCCAAAAGCCCATGTCCCTCAGTGCAGTGTTATTAATGGGCCGACAGGAAGGGCCCTGCTTGCCCTCACTGCCCCCAGCAGGAAGGTGAGGCTCTCAGCTGGCTGGCTGGGGGAGGACGATCCTTGCCAGCATCTAGTGTGGTTCTCTGCCAAGTTCTAGCTCCAAATCTCTAGGCCGCTAGGAACCTAGGCTATATATAGCATTGTGCTAAGCAGTTCTTATCGGACATGTCTGCCCTCCCCTGCGGGAGAGGAGCCCTTCTCCCAGGGAACCGGAACCTTGAGAGTGTGAGCCACCATCTCCAGGGGGCCTTCCATTCCAGGAAGGGCTGTGTGTCTGTGTCTGGTTCCGGAATGCCAAGTTTTCTTTCCTTTTCCTTCTTTCAGACGCTGATAGATTGGAAGGTCTGATGTGGGATGAGGGCCAGGAGGGGCTGATGGTTCTCCATGGATTTGGGGGCTTGGAGGAGGACAGGCTAGAGGCTGGAAATGTGGCCGGTGGCACGGCGTGCCTTGTGTCACCCACCAGCCTCCTGCGTGTCTTCTCGGTTTCCTGTTTGCCTTGCTTTGCTCATGGATGTCTTCTGACCTCTCGTGCTTCTTTTGGACCTCTTGTCTTCCCTGCCCTCCTCTACCTCTTCCTCCTCCTTCCTTTGATTTTCGTTCGTCTCTGTGACGGCAGCGGTGCTAAGGGCATCCGGGAACTGTCTGCTCTCCGCCCTCACCGGCCGTCGGGGTTTCGGGGAAATCTGCCTTTAGTCAGCTGTCCTCGGGAGGAGTTGGGTGGTGACTGTGCATGTCGTGCTGGGTGGTAGAGGGCAGAACGGGCTGGATATTTGCCTCCTCCTCCCCTCGTAGGTGCTGTGCAGCCACCAGGGTCTGTGGTTCTGTGACCCTGAGTGCCGACCGATGGGGACACGATCCAGTCTTGTCAGTGAATCATCTTCAGGCTGCTTATTGGAAACCAGATGGTGAGAGAAAATGGGGTGTAACCCATGCCTCCCAGGTGAGTCAGGTTTGGGCCCCCTCTTCTGGCCTTCCCCTAGCCCCCTTCCCTTCTCGTGGCAACCGTTTTCCTTAGTAGGGAATCCTCAGACATCTCCATTCAGAATCTCCCAAACAATGCCCTCTTCTTTCCATTCTCCCACTCCTGGCTTTTCTGTGAATGGGGTTAGTAACCAGCAAGGGCCTGGGGGCAGGGCCAGCCCAAGTGATCCACTGGCTTGTGGGAGATGGCTGGGATGCGTTGCTGGGTGTGGCAGTCGGCGGAGCAGTTGGGCCTCCCACGGTGACTGGTCTGGAACTCTCCTTGGCCCCCAACATCCAGCGTGAGGGTCTGGGTTAGAGCCCCTTAGGTGCCACACGGGCCTGCGGGCGTTCCTTTCCTTGTGTATCCCGGTGGATGTTCGCTCTTACTCTAGACACCTTTAGACTCGCTGGAGTTTAGAGTATGGACTCGGTGGTGGACTTCAGGGCTCTTGCTCTACTTGGGGCGGGGGGTTGTTCTGGGGTTTTTTTTGTTTGTTTGAGTGAATCCTTCTCTTCCTCTAGGCCCTCATTGCCTTCACCTTAAAAAAAAAAAAATTCTGGGCCTAGTAAGCATTGCCAAGCATCTCTAGGCAGTTGACGTAGAAATCTTTTTTCTCTGCCTCACTTGATGCTGGTCACAGTAATAGCAACAGTGATTTAAAATGATGGTGGTCAGCAGAACTGGGGAGATCTGTCGCATTCTAGAGACAACTCAGGAAGCAGACGGTAGGCACTTGCCATTCTCCCTACCGGGAAATCTCTCCTATGGAATGCATTCCTGCAATGTTCTGGGCGAGCAGGGTCAGGTTGGAATTAGCCGACAGCAGATTTGTCTGGGGTCTCGAGATCAAAGAGATGGTGCTGGGCAGTTTTATGATGGCGCTTGGCTAATTTCCGGAGGCACCCGTGGGATCCCACCTCTGCTGCTTGTCTCATGAATGTCTCCCCACCCCCTTCCCACCGCAGTCCGGGAAGGACTGGTGAATTCTGCCTGTCGGTGTTTGATCTTCTCTTCTCTCCATCTGAGATGTGTCTCTGAATTGGCTGTGAGCAGCCTGAGGTCCTCACCGAGTGAGGCATCCAGGGCTGTTGGGAAGAGTCCAGTGTCTCTGTTGGGAAGAGGCCAGTGTCCCTTCCCTAAAGGAATTTGACAAGTCTCAGCCCCTCCAGTAGTGAGGTAGGGAGGATGGCTAGGGGTATGGGACCTGGAACACAAATAAAGAGGAGAGATCAGCTTTGGTGCAGCTGGGGAGATGAGGAGGAGCCGGCCAAGTCCCTCAAGATGTGTCGGCTAGAGTCTGTCCAGCGCCGGCTGCAGGGCTGGGGCCAGATGGGGCCGCGGCCATGCTCGGGAGCCCTCTGCTGCTATATGTGCGGTGCAGCCCTGGGCCTGGCTTGGGGTCACGGCCGCTCCTATTCACAGCCCTGCCCTGCCCTTGGCGGCATTGAGATAACCAGAGTGGGAAGCAAAGGGAAAGTTGGTTTGGCTCCCTGTGACGCAGTTGTCTCTGGGGCCTCTGGTGTTTCCAGAATTGGGGGTGGACGCTTCCCCGTTGATTTTCCTATTTTCGTTCCTCATTTAGTTCTTTCCTCCCTGCTTACCAGCGTGGCTTCCATTGACCTGACACGGGCATTATGTGTCACAAGCCAAACCAGGAGAACAGTTGGCATCCCCTGAGAGGGGGACCAGGCTTATCTGGCACTTGGTTCTCAACCTCTGCAGCCCTGCAGTCTGGGAGCCAGGAGGCAGTGTGGGGCCTTTCCGTCTGGGGTCCAGCAGAGGTGAACAGAGCTGGTGGCCCTGGAGCCGTGGTGGTGTGGCTTGGCCAGGAGGCGTTGGGGAGGGGCCCTGCCAAGGGACCTGATTGGTCAGCACCTTCTCTGTTCCACTGGATCCTGGTCTGGTCAGGGCTGTGAGTTGTTTAATGCATATCTTGGCTCTGTCCCCTGGCACAAGGGCCTCCGAAGCTGCAGCCCCGGCTTTAGAGAGGATGTGTACCTCGTGCTGGTCACTGTTTTGGGCACGTTGCCTCCCTGTGAGATATGTGCGAGATACTGCCTTTTCCACTAGCCGGCTGTCCGTGGGAGGCCCTCATTTTGCTTTGCTTTTCTGGGCCTTGGAGTGTCTGTGAAGAAAGCAGAGGCTGGGTTTGGTTTCTTGCTGCCTCCTTCTGCAGGAGCTGCTCATAAGCTGATAAAGCCAGAGAACACCTCCAGGCCCCAAGGTCTGAGCAGACCTGATGCAGCAGTGTAGAGCCTGGGCAGGAAGGAGTGGGGGCCTGGGGATGGTTGTGCACCGTCTGACCACAGGATCAAGGCCAGGAGGTCGACGGTGGGGAGGATGTGTCTCGTGTTCAACCAGCGTGGCCTGCTGCGGCCTGGAAGGGGCTGTATGCGCGCGGACCCCAGCTCAGGGTCCGTAATGAGGCATGAGGGTGTGAGACGGGCATCAGGTTCTCAGTCCCAGCGCACAGTCCCAGGGAAGGGAAACTGACCTTTGTTAAGGGTCTCCCTTTGCTTATCTGATTTCATCCTCAGAGCAGCCGCATGAAGTAGGTGTGACTTCCCTTCTCCGGTTAGAGAAACGGTCCATACTAAGTCACTTCACCAAGCTCACACACTTGGCCAGTGGGATAGCCGAGATTTAAACCCGGGCACTTCTGATTCCAAAGCCTGGACTTTTTCTTCACCCTCTTGGGCCGAAGTCAGACATTTTGGGGAGCTAAGACCGTCCGAGATTAGGCAGCCGGCAGAACGGATGGTAACCGAGTGAAAGGCCAGGTATTTTGGGGACCGTGGCGGTCGGCGGGGACGGCTGTGCCACTTCCCTCTCTGGGGAGGCCGGGCAGATGCAGATGGCCCTTGGTGCCTGAGAACAGGCAGGGCTGAGCGTGGCAAATACAGCCCTTCTCCAAACCCCCATTCAGCCCCTCAGTCTGCCAGGGATTGTACGAGGTGCCGGGGATGCAGGGCTCAACAAAACCGAGTTTCTGCTCTCGTGAGGTGTACTTTCTGGCATGGGGAGAGGTCACTCATGATGATGACAAAGGGAATTGGGAAATAGGTAAAGTAGACTTAGATGGAAAGGGGGACACCCACACACATAAGAAGGACCCAGGGACCCAAGGAGGGAATTTGAGACGGGGGAAGCCATACTCATAGAGCCCCCAGAGTTCACAGTGATAGAGTTGCTAACCCCTCTCTTCTAAGAGCTAGAAACTCACCCAAGGCCCCCACAGCTTACAAGAACTTGCAGTGAGTCAGGGATCAAGCTGACAGTAGACATCAAACCTCTGGTCACCAGCAGATGAAGGTGTTTCTGTCAGCTGCCCTCCCCAGGTACCAGCTGGCGTCTCTGCCTCAGCCTCGTCACTGTGCCCCTCTCTCGTCCACACAGACAGGGGAACACTCGGCTTAAGTCTTCACCGAGTCACTGGTCAAGTCGGTGCCTGCAGGAGGCGGAAGTCAGCTTAGCCTCTCCTGCCCGAGCATGGGGTTCCAACATCCTCGCGACAGAGAAGGGGCAGGGGGCAGGAGAGGGAGGAGAAGTCCCCGTGTGCCAGAGGCTTGGACGAGTTGGGTGTCTTGCGAGGCTGAGGCAGGTTGGTGGCTGGAGGTGTTTCCGGTGTGTGGAGGGGATGTTTCCAGTGTGTGCGGCTGCTGGGCTCAGGACTTCTTTACCGGGTAGAAGCAGGGCTCGTGGTGAGTCTGGCCACGTGATTCTTCCTTCTTTGGTCCCGTAGTCAAAGCGTGGCCCACCTGGACCTCAGAGACTGCCACCTGCTGCTAGGGGGCGGGGGGGCTAATGTCGCACAAGGATGAGGTGTGGGTCTTGGGGTGTGGTTGTGGGGGCTCAGGGAAAGTGGGCCTTATGTGGCATGGCGGAGAAGACTTAGCAGGCCCACATTCTGGCCCCGGCTTCCTTGGTAAAATCTTACTCACTTTACCTCTTTGGGACTTAGTTTCATTGTTTATATAATGAGGGAGTTGAACCAGAATCTTTCTGAAGGTGCCTGCCAACTCTGACCTGGGGCTCCCTGGGTGTTCATGGAGGTATTTCTTAGGCAGAAGACTGAGAACAGCTACAGTCCTGTTTTCTGAAGAGATGTTGTCACCATCAATGAGGGCAGGTGGATGGAGACAGTTTTCCGGGGACCCCCCGGTCGCAAGCGGGAAGGGGCCAGAGATTGCATGAAGGTGGCTGATGAAGGTCATCCAGCTGACCGAGGATGTGAACTCTAGCTCCCACCCAGGGGCTTGTTTGGAGACAGGCTGTGTGGGAGCTGCCAGGGGACTATCTGTTCCACAGGGCCTGACTTGAGATGCCACCATGCTCTAGGGAAGAAGTTCTGTCCTTTCTGGCCCTAAATCCTGGAGAGAACATAGGACTGCAGGTCAGGTGTCCCAGCCTTCCCTGTTTAGGTTCTGTGCCCCTTGCTGTGAGGAAGTTTTCCTTTATATTTATCCATTTTTTCTCATGTGGTTGTTGAAGTCCTTCTATTTAAAAAAAAAGGGGGGGTGAAAAAGATGGGCGAAAAGAAAAAAAAAATCTCCAAGCCACCCGTTCCATCTTGGCTTTTTAGTCTTGAGTCGTTCTTTAAAAGGTAGCAAAAATAAAGCACATGCAGCAAGCCCAGGGTCCCAGACCCTCAGAGGCCAGTCTGGGGCTGTGGTGGCCTCCTTCCCCAGGGGCCAGCACTCCTCCAAGGCTGCACGGGGCCGGGGGAGCGGTATCTGGGGCCGCAGCACCCGCCGCACAATCCGCCAAACAGAATGCCGAGTTTTAAAATTAGCATTTCTTCAAGACACTTTCCGCGTGCCACTTTGCTGCACTCTTACCTGGGCCTCATAGCCGTGAGCCCACCCCCTCTTGCCCCCAGAGTGGTGTGGCAGACAGGGCTTTGGGCCAGAATTCAGGCAGGAGCCCAAGTGATTGGTGACCAACGTCTTGTGCATGCCACACAATGTTCTGCAGCTCTTTTCAGATTTGCTAGCTCATTTGATCCTCACAGTGCCTGCGAGGGTAGGTGGTGGGTCCCCACAGTCGTTGAAACTGACTCACGGACAGCCTTGCCAAGATCCACTTGCTTGTACTTGCTGAGTTGGGGTCACCCACCCAGGTCCCCCGACTCCAGATATCATTTCTTTGGGTTTTAGTTGTTGTTCAACTGACCAGTGGGGCAGGGCAGGGACAGGGAGCGGGTCTTGGGCAGCTGACTTTATCTCTGTAGGTCGCAGATCTCTTTTCTACACACTGAATGGGGAAGGGAGCTTCAGAAGGTCCAGGTTCTCCTATTCTCACATGCTTTCAGCTTCTTGGAGCTCTTATGAAACCTGGCCTGCACTCCTTGGCCAGGAAGCCAGCCATTCACCATGTGTTTCTGGTGAGACTTCCTACATTTGGAAGCTTCTGGAATTATGCAGTGCTTCTCAACCATTCCGACACGTATGTAGGGCACTTCGTGCATGTACATATAGTCCTGTTTCTACCAAGTAGCTACTTAGAAATGAGGCTTCCTTGTGGGATCTGTGAGATTTTTTTCCCAGCAGATTGATAAGGTAGGCCCAGAGCTTTGCCTAGCATGTGTGTTGTGTGGATGTTACCTATTTGCTGGCTAATTAACGTATAGCCACCCCGCCCCCGCCCCAGAAGAACTGGCTAACGGGCAGTGTGAGATATTGGAAGCGCTGGCTTCAGCTCTGGATATTGCTTCCTGATAGAGTTGAAAAAGTAGGCCTTTCCCATGGAGAGGAAGGTAAGTCAGAGAACGCCTAGGCGTCAGTGTTCCCCGGATCCTGAGTGTAAGCCCACTCTTTATGAGGAGAGTCAAGGCACAGCTCAGACTGCACATTGTCTTGTCCGTGCGGCCCTCTGAGTGGCCTTTATTCAGAGAGACCCAGAGCCTGTATGAAGGGACATAGAAATGTTTGTCTTTATTTAGAGCACACTAACACATGTTGGTTTAGGCTCTCCCAGGGCATGGATCTTGAAGGTTTGGGGTTGGACAGAGTGGCAGCATGCGTATGTCTGTCTGTCTGTATTCCCCGGATGCAGGCTTGGCTCACAGAGAAGCCCTGTCATGGGGAATCCACAGGGCAGTTGTTTTGCTGGACAAAGCTTTTGATGACTTTTGTGTGAAGATTTGTCATATGGCACCCAGATCTTTGTTTTCCCGGAGGATGGGAAGGAGGATGGCAGAACCCAAAGCTGGGAGATGATTTAGGCCAGACTTCAGGGAGAACTGTGGTGGCCCTTTGCTGAGGGCTCCCAGAGAAACACAGAGCCTCTTTATCTGACAAGAGGGACTGGATGTCCCTGACAAGGTCCCTCCCATCCCGAGTCTGTGGGACTCTGAGACCGTCCCTGGAACAGCACGAGCTTTGGGTGCCAGGACCTAAAGCGGGCTCTGTCTTTTCTTTCTGCCTCGGAGGCGAGCCTGACCTGGGTGGGGGCACAGGAGCATCGGGCCTGGAGCTCTAGCCTTGTTTCCTCGTGCAGAGAGAACTTCTGGAACTGACTCTCTAGGATTGATAGTATTTGTAAATAAAAAAGAGGAGAAAGCCACGTTGTCCCCCATCGCTGTCCCGAAAGAGCCCCGAGCTGCTCTAATCCTGTATTTGAATCACCACCATCACCCACCCATTCTGATGCCCCCTAGCCCTACGGAGCTCCGAGAGGCCCTGGAGATGTGAAGGAGGTGGTGGCTGAGCCAGGAGGCAGGGACAGACGGGGTTGTCTGGGAAGAGGTTCGGAGATGGAAGAGGACTATCTCAGGGCAGGTCCACAGCTCTGGGGCCCCTGGCACTGCCTGCTGGACCGAAGGCACGTGTGTGCTCCCATGGGCATACTATTCATTGGGAACCCCAGAGTCTGAAATAAACCGGTTAATGGCTGAATGAGGGTTGCTTTCACGTGGAGAGTCATATATCCTTTTTGTTGTTGTTCCTGTCTGCAGATGTAGCGTCTGAAGGCCTGACAGGTTGGGGACCTTTCCCTGGGCCCTCCCGTCTGTAAGGTTGTGCTTATTTTATGGTGCTTTTCTGTCCCCTCTCTTTTCTCTTTCCCACTCTCACACAGTCCTTAGGAACACGTGATTATCTGTCCACGCTCTTGTGTTCCTATCTCCTTGGGGTACCGTCCTTCCAGGGTCTCTGACATCATTGAACGTATTACTTTTATTTCAAATGTGAACAGACCACAGGCTCACTGCAGAGCAGAGCCCCCCAGAAACCGCCTCTCCACCTCATCCTCGAGCGGGTCATGCAGAGCCCCGGGGAGAGGAGATCAAGGGTATCTCTGCTGGGCCCAGCTCGGCCCCACATCATGCCACTTATTGGGGGAAGGGGTGGCTCAGGCATGAATCCCCCACCCCCAGCACTATTAGTGCTTTCTTTTTTTCAGCTTGAACCCCGAGTAGTGGCCTTGAAGGTCTGAGACCACATGTCACCCTGCTAGGTGAGGATGACAGAGAGGGACAGGGACAGAGGGGACGGGAGTCCGTGCTCCTGGCCACTGGCCTCTCTCCAAGACAGGTGAACTCTGTGTCCAGAGAGGAACTCATTTAATCTTTTGGCCCTAATGAAAGTTGTTTGTGTTTTCTCTCCCTCGCTCTTCTCCCTCCTCTCTCTCCCTCAACGCCCCCGCCTCCACCCTCCAGCCTCCAAAAGAATTTAATCTGCTGGACAACAAACAATACTGTTATAAAACTTTGAAAACAAGAGGGTGAGGCCTCCCTGACAAGGAGAAGGGCATGCCGGGTAACAGCTGGCGGAGCCTGCCAGGCCCAGGACGGAGCCGGGCGAGGGCCCAGTTGGCCGGGTACCTGGGCGCCTGCCCCTGCCCAGCCCACCAGCCGAGCCATCCCCAGTCCAGAGGGGAAGGAACCGAAACAAAAGCAGGGGCAGAGAAGCTCCCGAAAAGGGGAAGTTGTATGTGTTCCCCTCTCTCTGATCTGATGGGAGTGTGCTAGACTGTGAAACTTCCTCTCCCCCTCCCCCCACCTTCCTCCCCTTTTATCCTCCCTCTGCCTGCCTCCTCCCACCACTCTCTGTTCCAGGTCCTGAGACTGGCCGGCCAGGCCCCAGTGACAGAACCAGGCAGGCCTAGCCCTTCAGGTGCAGCCCCCAGGCGGCCAGCTGCATGGGAGGCAGGCGGGAAGGGTGCCCCGGGCTGGCTTTGGACTCTGGACACACCCTCTGTGTGCCCAGCCTTCCCGCCCCCGACTAGGAAAGTGGAACCATGTCATGGGCTGTGCCCCGGTCTGCGTGCTTCACCAGCTGCGTGCCCCCGTATCGGGGAGAGCCACCACTCGGGGCTCCGTCGGTCTGCCCCCAGCGTGCTGGTGCCTGTGGGGGCCCTGCTGTCCCTCCAGCAGGAGCGGGGGCTGAGCTGTGGTGCCCCCGAGCCTCAGAGACATGCTTCCCGCGGCAGGCAGACACAGGGTCCTGTGAGTGGGGGCCCTGGTGGGGTACTGCGTCTGCTAGGTACTCTTGGTCATTGAAGGAGTGGGTGAGTGATTCCAGCCTTCCCGGTTAGATTTCACCTGAGACTGAAGGTTCACGGCCACATCCGTCTTCACCACACAGAGCATGTGGTTTGGAGAGTGATGAGGGGGAAGGAGCAGTGGTCTGCCTTTGCTTGGAGGTTGTTTGGACCTGTGAACTGGGTGGTGGGCATTGTGATTGTGTAATGGGCTGTGGGCCTGCTCACTTCTCCTCTTGGGGGAGGCAGTTCAGGGCTGGGCCCATCCTCCTCTGCTAGAGCTAAGCCACTCTCTGGGGAAACGGGGGGCCCCCCATGCTCCCATCTCCACTCCATCACTCATCCTTCTCTGTGCTCCCCCCTGTCTCCTGCTGCCCCCCACCCCCGTCTCCTGCTGCCCCCCACACCGCACAGCTTCCCAAGGCATCCCGTCCTCCCAGCCAGGCAGCCATTCCAACCCTGTACTGAATCTGGGAGATTTCCAGATGCTGGTCTTCATCCGTGGTGTCAAGGAAGGGACCGAGAACCGAACTTTGTGGAGAGCGGCTGCCTGGGTAGTTAGGCCTCTGTACGCCTGCCCCAGGGAAAACCAGAGCTGCTGATGCTGGGTCCATGTGAGCGGAGAAGGCTGTGATCTCTCGCCCTGTTACTTCCACAGGCATTCGAGGGGCGCAGTGGGTCTTGAGCATGTTATTCCCACTTCAGGATCCAGCGTCTGGGAAGCGCACTGATCCCTGGATGCTGAGCCCCTTTTGGGGGGGTAGGATGGGGGGAGGCGAGCGGCCAGGAAAAGAACCAGCTCCATGTTCTCCTCCCTGGCCCCCCATACACATACCCTTCATTTTATCACCCTTTCCTCTGATTCATTAACCACAGCTAGTTGGCACCAGGCCCCACCCTGACAGCTCAAGACAAAATGTCCAGGACACTGTGTCTGGCCTGGGGCCGAGTGACAGGAAGCTGGGCCGGGCCTCTCTGTGTGCACATACAATGGGCTAGGGCCGTCTGGGGGGCAGAACCGTCCCTGTGTTCATAAAGGTCTTCCCCAGGCCTCTCTCTCCCCAAGGTGACTCTTCCCCCACTGCCAGGGGCCTCGAAACCAGCATTCCAGGTGGCAGGAAGACCTCCGAGCTGGGCTCGGCTTCCGGCGCCCCTCCCCCGCGTCAGTCATGTAAGTAGCCGGGACTCAGCACCCAGCCCCGGCGGGAGGGAGAAGCTGCTGCCTCGCGGGAACCTTCCAGCGCTCTGGATTTGAACACGTCGTGGTAGCACAGAACGAGGCGGCAGCATCAGCTTCCTGGGGCTTTGTGTCTCTTGGCTCCATGGGTTTGCTTATGGACCTCATAAACCAGGATTCCTCCTCTCCTCCCCGCTTTCCTCCCATGTTATTTTGTGGGCACCAGGCCTGGCATGGGATTTTTAGGACTTTAAAAGACACAGACAGCATCATTTCTAGAATGCAGTAGAAGCTCTCTTTGCAATCTCCAGACTGCTGTTTAACCCATGGCCCACGAGTTCTGTCTATTTAACCCTCAGATGTTTTTGTTTGGCCTACACAGAGTTTTTGTTGATTTTTTTTTAAATGTATCTGATTTGCATGCCTTTAGACAAAAAGCCTCTCCAGGTCACTACTCCTGCTGCATGTCGCTGCTTCTCTCCTGTTTCCTGTCCCAGCCCTGGAGCATTTGAATGCACTCGACACCAGGCCTCATGAGCCCTCCTTCTTTTTAGAACTGCGGTCCATTCCAGGGAGGTGCAGGCCCCTTCTCTCGGGAGTCTGGGCTGAGCAGGAATTAAAGCCGCTGAGTTCTGATTCACTCTGCGGAGGCCTTTCCTCCACCCTCGGTCCCTGCCTAAGGCAGAGGAGGGTCCTAGGCAGGAGGGGGTGGTAGAATGTCTGCAGAGAAATGGATGGGGGCCGCAGTGTGCTTCCCAAACCCTTTTCCCGCACGGTGGCCCCTCCCAGAGCTGACATACCCACCCCTCTGGCTGGCCGGTTTTCCTTCCCGGACAGCCCACCAAGCCCTTCCCACTGGCCAGTTTGCCTGGGGCCATTAGGCCAGGCAGGGAGGATCACACCATCCGCTTTTGACGGCCTAGCCCTCCCAGGCTGGGGCTTCTCCGGGCTGCCTTCTTACAGATGGAGGTGGCCATCGAGCTGCGTGCCAGGGAGCGCAGGCCCCTTCCAGCCCCCATCCAGCCCCCTAGCTACATCCAGCTGGGGAACAAGAACACCAGCTGGCTTCAGGTAAGTGAGCCATTGCTTGGCAGACTTCGTGAGAGCAGCCTGGTTCTTTTGGGAGGGCTGAGACCTGCATAGACTCTTGTATCCAGTGGGGTTGTAGGGGCAAAAGGTCTTGGTACTAGGATTACTTTCTTCCCCTCTTCTTGTGTTAGAGTGTTTATGGTACTGTGTTAAGAATGATGTCTCTCTTCCTCCAGAGAACTGAGTATGGTAGAACTCAGGTGCTGGGAGCCCGAGCTCTGGGTCATGGCCATTAGTTCCCTCAGTGATGGTTGCTCCTCTGCAATGCCCCCCGCCCCCCGAACTCTGGGCTGATGCTCCCTGGGTAGCAGGAGAGACTGTCATTAATCACCCTGATGACCACGTAACGTACGTGCATCCTGAAGGACAAGAACTAGGTGCTGTGACCCAATCCCTGGCTCACCTGGGGAAGGCTTCAGGCGACCTGCATTACCTGGGGGAGGGTTGACGGGTGGTAGTTCTGGGAGGGTGGACAGAGAATGTTCCAGAAAGAGGGAGCAGTGTATGCAAAGGCCTGCTGGGGAAGGAAGGGGGCCATCTGGATCACTGAAAGACACTTGTGTGACAACACGTTAGGAAATGTTCTGTGGATACTGGCAGTTGGAAGTTGCTAAGGAGGAAGAGTTCAGCTGGAGTCAAATGCCGAAAAGCTGAGCGGAACCAAATATAGAGCCCCAACCCCCTCTATGAAATGACTATCATTTACCACTTCCTGACCTTACAACCCTGGAAGTTACCTGCTTACCGGGGCCCAGCTGTTGACGGCAGGTGTCCTTGATCAGAGCTGCTGCCCTGCCCTCCTGTCAGTGGCTGAGGCTGTGCAAAGGCCCTGGGCTTGGAGCCCAGTGCTGGGGTCAGAATCTGCAGTCCAGCACAGGCATTGTGGGCGGGTCCTCTCCAGCGCCTCCCCCCAACACAGCCATGCTGTGGGTGTGGGAGGACGCAGCAGGCCAGCTCAGAGCACCGGGCCCCCTGCAGAACCAGCTGGGCTCCTGTCTCAACCGAAGTTCAACCTGTTGTCAGTCACATCCACAGCCATGCAGAAACATTGCCTAGGACTACCTTGCCTCCCCCTGCCCCAACCTTGCTCACAGTTGAGATCAAGAACAGAAGGAGATGATAGACCAGCCATGGAGCAGGCACAGTGGGCCAAGGGGCAGGAACAGAGACTGTGGAGTTAGATCTGGGATCTGCACCGTGTATTAGTCACGTGACCGTGGGCAAGTTACTGAAGCGTGTTAAAGAGCAGTTTCTCCTGCAAGCATGGGAATAATCCGTGCTTCCCGGGGCTGACACAATTAAAGAGCACACTTTAGTGTTCAGATTTTATTTCCTCCTCTTCCCTGGAGAAGCGTATGCTGTTATTTCCAAGAGCCACAATATTTACAGGCCTGTGTCTGGAGGCCCACACAGCTGGTAGAGAGCCGCAGAGGTACAGATTCCACTGTCTCTCTTTCCGGGGTTGTGGTACCCCGGGAAAACAGACACGTTTTCTCAGCTTCAGACAACCAAAAACGACCCATTTAGGAGATGGGAAATCTAATTTGAACACAGGATGCAAATCTTATTTTCAGACAAATTCTGAAAACAACACACAACTCAGTTCTCAGAGGATTATCTACTTAACACGGTTTTAGGACATCACGTTTTTTTGTGTCACGGCCGAGGATAAATAAGATTGCCAATGTTCTGAGCCTTACATAAGGCGGGGAAGGAGGAGCCTGAGCTCTTTCTGAGCAGGGCACATGGAAGGGTTGCCCAGGCCTGGGCGAAACGCCCCTCTGTGTACTGGCTAGAACCTCATGGGCAGATAGGGTGCTTGTTTCCCGACGACGTGAGCTAGGATTGGAAAACACTCCGCGTGCCATGAAATATTTTCTAGAGCAGGGCAGTGCTAATGAAGGTATCAATGCATTTTGATAATAGCTCTGGGAGACTTGATTTTATCCTATAGCTAATACTCTTATTAGGACCCGTTGTGGAATTAAACAGCATTAACCAGACTTCATGAGTTATGTACCACTACCGAGTGTGTGAAGCCTCAGCCGTGACGTCAGCCGGCCTCGAGCGCCACTGGGGAGCTCTTCGCTGGGCCTTTGTCACGGATGGTGATGTCACATCACAAGCGGAACCGCAAGAAGACCTCCCTCCCTCCTCGGGGCAGAGCCTGGGTCTTCCGATGACATCTTCCTTCTTTCTTCAATGAGATCCTCTTCTTCTGGAAGCTGGTTTCACATGGTGGCTTAGATTTTTCCATCTTTGTATCTAGCACCATTTGAAATCAGTGTTTTAGGAGTAAGAATTGCAGCACAGCAAAGGGCCACCTGCAGAGGAGCCTCCGCGGGTGGGACGGGCGCCCTCCCCCTGCCCCTGAGCCGGCCCAAGAAAGGAAGACCTTGCAGAGGAGAGTGCACCCTAGCGTACGTGGGCTGTGGAGGGGTGATGGCGCGGGGAGGGTGTGGTGTGTAAAGGGAACTCTGCCTCCGAGCAGGGGCAGAGGGGTGCCAGCTTGCCACAGCCACCAGGGCTCACCTGCCCGTTGGGCCTTCAAGCGCAGAGATGGGGCCGTGCTCCACGCGGGGCTCAGTTGTACCAGGGGAGGGGCGGGGCTGTGTACCCGGAGGACGGCCCCATCCACGTCAGCACTGCGCCTGCTCTAGACGCCCCGGAACCCTCAGCTGCTGCTGCAGGGCGGCTGGAATCAGACTCGCCACCTGCACGGTCGAGGGCAGGACCCCCAGGAGCGCCACTGGACCCATCTCTTACACAGGCTGACCGATTTCTCCTGGTGTTCAGAGTCTGTTTTTGTCTAGCACCATTTGAAATCGGTTATGATGTAGGGGGAAAAGCAGCAGCCTCGAAGCCTCATGCCAACGGTGGTGAGCAAGCGCCTGTGGTCTCCTGGAGGACGGATGGGCAGAGAGTGGGGAAGGACGATCTCGCGCTTTTTTCACTAACTTCTTTAACTGCATTTATGATGCCTTATTGCAGAGGTAAGAGAGAACTGAATGTCTTTTGAAAAACAAATGGCCATAATGCATCTGATGTCCCGGGTTGCATGTTGCTGAAATGTGGCAGCTGCTGCAGCTGCTGTCAGCGGTTGCTGTTGAATCATCTTTCCGTGAAGAGTCTGTTCGTGCCTCCTGACCTGAATAAATACTTCACTCTACTCAATTAATCATGTCTTTGTTTTTCATCTGTCATTTGCTATTCATAATTCCATGATAAGCGGGGTCCTGAAAAGGTAACTTGAGATGTAGATTCACCTACTTCCTAAGCATTTGAGGAGCCAGCCCGTTAGGACAAGAATGGAATTCTGTGAGCCAAGAAACACATGAGAGAAAAGAGCACAGAAAAGAGAGGTGCTCAAGCCCGGGCCAAGGGATGCTGCTTATGGAAGGGGAAGCTGAGGCTGGTTCCAAATGGACTGGAGCCCTGGCACCTCTGTGGTCCGTGATCCTTTGAGAAATTTTGTCGAACCGAACCCATGGTCACATGGCTGGTAAAGGAGAGCAGCCTGAGGATTTCCCTTACTTCGTAAAAGATGCAGGAGGTCTACTTGTGGTTCATAGTTTCTATGAACCCTGAAGACAGGGCGGACCAGTTCTGGAAAGGTATTCAGCGATTAGCCAGATCTGACGTCACGGGGGATTAGACCTGCAGAACCTGCGGGTCGGAGGGCTGTGGCCCCCTGAGGGAGCGTTTTGCGCAGATGTCCGGCGACATCTTGAATCTGCTTTTCAAGACCATGCAAATATTAGCGTCCACCCATAGGGGCTCTGGTTATACTGTCCCAGGATCGGGCCTACATTTTTGTTCTAAAGTTTCCCCAGGTGACTCTCGTGTGCAGCCACAGGTGAGAGCCACCCCTCTGGGGTCTTGCTTTCCTACTCAGACGGTGGTGTGAGGACCCCTAGCATGGGTGTATGAGTTGTTGGTCCTCGTCTCCTTGGGCTGCTGTAAGAAAATACTACAGCCCGCGCAGATTATAAACAACAGATACTTCTGTTTTGGATGCTGGGAAGGCCAAGATCCAGTGGTGGCGGATTCAGCGCTGGGTGAGAGCCAGCTTGCCGGTTCAAAGAGCGTGCCTTCCGAGGGCAGAGGGGCTGAGGGAACCTTCTTGGGCCTCTTTACAAGGGCACTAATCCCATCATGAAGGCTCTGCCCCCATGACCTAATCTCTTCCCAAAGGACCCACCTCCTAATAGCTCACCTTGGGGTTTTGGTGGGACACAAACATTCACACAGTAACTGTGTGGAAACAACACACCTCATTTCTTTCAGTCCTGGAAGTCCAAAGTGTGACCTCATTTCACGAGACTGAACTCAAGGCATTGGCAGGGCCAAGCTCCCACCAGAGGTCCTAGGAGAATCCGTTTACTTGCCTTTCCAGCTTCTAGAGCTGCGTTCTTTGGCTTGCGGTCCCTGCCTCCATCCTCAAGGCCGGCAGCAGAGCATTCGGCCACAGGGTCACGCCACCTTCTGCTGCAGTCAACTCCCCCACTGACCTCCCTTCTAGGGAACCGTGTCATTTCACTCAGCACCCCCCTCCCCCAAGATCCCATGTGCAAAGACCCTTAGCCACAGAGGGGACATTCACAGGTCTCCGGAGGCCATTAGCCTACCACGAGCAGCAGTATGTCGAACTCGTGGAAATACTGAATCTTGGGCCCCACCTGGGACCTGCTGGATCAGAATCTGCGTTTTAACAAGACTTGCCTGCCCACCACAGCCGGAGAAGCATGGTCCCATGGGGTCCTACCCAAGGAATTCTCCAATAAGGAATTGAGTCCCATGTCAAATACAAATTGAAGGGGTGTTTTCCCAGGAGCCTTCTCGGATGGTGCTGGGTGATCCGATGACTGGCATTTTCCCAAACACCATAATTAAGTGCCCATCTAAACGACGGTGGTCTCCAGAGTCTCCCTGAAGCCACCAGCCCTAAGCACCAGGATGCTGGAGCTCTTGCTCGGTTTCCACAGTTGGAAACAAGGCTTGCCACTGCTACATAAAACAATCCCATTTTTTAAAAGCTGTGTAAGGGAGATAGATGTTTATGATGTAAACATAAGCAGCTTCTGCTACTCCCCATATACAAGTTTTCTTGGGGTAGCGAGTCAGGAGTCGGGGTGGGTTACTTTCTCATTGTGACCTATACTTGCGGTGATTTGTGCACCTTCAGGTACGTAAGTGAGAGGGCAGAAAAAGTTTACTGACCACAGCCCCCCAACATTCTGCTTCCCCATATTTAAGCAACAAGGGACAGAGGTGAGCCCTTTTAAAATGTCGATTTCACAGAAGGAAAGCAGAAAAGACCTAGTTAATACTAGATCCAAAATGAAATTTAAAATGTCACAGCAAGGACAGGAACCTCTGAATAATGACCAAGTTGGAAGGACTTCAGGAACGTCAAATGCCCGGAGAGTCCACAGGAGGGCAGCAGTGCTACGCGGTAGAAAAACTGACCACTTCAGTGCAACCTTTTCTGATGAACCTGGAAATGATGAAAGCAACATTCCCTAGGTGGGGAAACAACAACAAAACCATGTGCATGGGTACTCAATTTTGCATCCTTCCTGGAAGTCAGTAGACTGTTAAATCCTGGTCTTGAAGAGTAATATGCAAACGCTTAAAGTATGCAAGGAAGTTCATTCTTGGTTGCAGCTAGCTGTCAGGCATTACTAAATTTTAGAATACTGGAGTTGCCTATTTTCCTTAAACCAAGAATATTCTTTAACAATACAATTCCAGCCTATCCCATGTCTCTTCAGCATTCCCACAGAATACTTTTTTTTTATTAGAAACTTTAAACTCTTGGGGCGCCTGGGTAGCTCAGTCGTTAAGCGTCTGCCTTTGGCTCAGGTCATGGTCCTGGGGTCCCGGGGTCCTGGGATCGAGCCCCGCATCGGGCTCCCTGCTCAGCGGGAAGCCTGCTTCTCCCTCTCCCAGTCCCCCTGCTTGTGTTATCTCTCTCACGGTGTCTCTCTCTGTCAAACAAACAAATTAAATAAATAAATAGAAACCTTAGACTCTCCCTGTATATTTGATGCCAATTTAAAAAATATGCTATAGTTTAAAGACCAATAAAATTTGTTTCACTTATTTATAGACAACCTAATTTACATCAAGTGTTGATACTGTAAAGATTGCTTCTGTTCCTTTTTTTTTAAAACCAGAGCCTTGTTTGACTGGCCAGGTAACAAGACCTTAATTTAAGTCTTAAGATATTTTCTGATTTATTAGGCTGAATTAATAAAACCCTAATTTTCTTTTGTAAATGTAAGCCTTTACTTTGCCAGTATACATTTATAGAGCACTTTATAAATCACTAATGCAGAAGTTCTCAACCTTAGCTACATACTAAATCACTTGGGAAACTTAAAAAAAAAAAAAATCCCTATGCCCAGGCCACATCCCAGATCAATTACATAAGAAAACCCAGAGAGGTTGGGACCCAGGCATCAGTAAAGCTCCCCAAGTGATTCCATGTGCAACATGGATCAGAACACGGAGGCCTGATCTCAGACATTTAACAATCTAATTCAAATCTGCAAAAAGACCAAGAGATTTTTTTTGCATAAACAAAAGCAAACCCTATTATTAGTTACGCCAATCAAGTTTTACACTTTCATTGTTGGGACTTGGGTTTTGAAGTACTTCACCATACCCATACGGGGATACAGAGGTGGTATGAGGTGGTTCACTCAAGGCTGGGTAATCACAAAGGCTCTGAGAGCTGGGGGAATCAGGAAAAGCTTCACTGGTTGGAGTGTAGGAGCTGAGCCTTGAAAGATGCCCAGGACCCGGCAGGACCGGAAGGGCTACGGAGGGCCGTGAACCAGGAGCTCAGCAGAGCACTCGGGGCAGATGGTCTGCTTGGCGGACAGCAGCTTATTTGAAGAAGTACATGGAGCAAAAGAAGTCTGAGGAAGCAGAGTTGGGACTTATTTGTAGGAAACCTTCAAGGAGCACGCGAAGCAACTTGGACTTGATGCTGTAGGTCATGTGCTGTGGTTGAACACCTCTGGGCAGGAGAGGCCCGGGCTGGGCTGGGAGAGGAGCCCTGACACATCTAAGGCCCTGGGCTGTGAGGGGCAGGAGTGGAATGCTTAGAGAAGCTGGGCCCGAGGGACAAGCGCACGTCCTCTGAGACAAAGCATGCTCGAAATAACGCATCATCACAAGTGAAAATTCTCCAATCTACATTTTATTTTTTACAACATTTGAAGGTCCGGTGTTCAAAAAATGAACAATACAGACCCCGATACATGGGACTTCTCATTTCACTGCAAATACATTCTTACAGTTTTAACAAACGTTTAAATATACATATGCTTTTTTATGTCGTTACAGAAACTTTCCTAGAGAAAACTGTTTTCCCTTATGTTAGGTAATTGACAAGTTGTTTGACAAAGAGCATAATTTATATTTACACATTTGTATCAATTTCCCATATAAATCTACTAAGATGAAAAAACTAAATTTGAAGCAGAAACTACTATACAAGTCCATTTATTTTCGAAAGCCTAACAATCTCTGGTTGGCAAATATTCAATTCGGCTGGTTAAAAATAAACAGTACAGCCATCCCTTGCTTCGAAGCAAGTGCTACGTCCCTGAAAAGTATACGACAGTGGGGCTGGTACGGCTTCACCTCCGTACTGAATTCCGAATTCCTGCTTCTGCTCAAGCTCATCTTCCCCAAGTCCCCCCCGGATCCCAGTGGGAAGGAACACTTACAGTGCATCACAAACATGGTCCACGCTTGATTCCCAACCATATCCTTCTCCGGGCAACGTTTCTTTGGCCTAATCTGCGCTACTGAACGGAAAAGTGCAAAACGAAACTTGTAAAAGTGTCATGGGAGTTCGAGTGGCCGCCCCCCCTGGGCTTCTCCGAAGGAGACCCTGCCTGGGGTGAGGACGCAAAGGCCACAGTCTGTCCCAGCTGAGCATCCGGTGCTACCTCAGCTGTTGGTTTTTTCTGTCCCTTTGCACGAGCAACGGCAGGCACCGTTTCCTTCTCTGAAATATGTGGCTTAATTTTTACTCTGCTGTCAGCACATAAGGTGAGATGCGCCTAAACACTCAGATTCTGATACAACCTGAGCTTATCTGATGGATACGTTCCTGCAAAACTCACCCCGTTTACACAACGTTGTCTAAAGTAAGACCTC